TATTATATTTGTCAAAATGAAACCTGATAAACATGTGTGGACAAAAATTTTAAAAATAAAATCAATTATATTATATTTGTCAAAATGAAACCTGATAAACATGTGTGGACAAAAATTTTAAAAATAAAATCAATTATATTATATTTGTCAGAATGAAATCTGATAAACATGTGTGAAAACAAATTTTTTTAAATAAAATCAATTATATTATATTTGTCAAAATGAAACCTGATAAACATGTGTGGACAAAAATTGTAAAAATAAAATCAATCATATCACGTTAGAATAGTAAATTTGTTAAATACAGTGAGGACTATATTTGATAAAATAAATTACTAGAGTATCTCTTGAAAGTGAAGACGGAGAGATTCTACTTGAACGTTTTTAAACATATTATAACAGCTGAATTTAATTGAAAAAAAAAATGTTTTATGGCATGCTTGGAGCTGAATGAATATGCTGCCCTATAAAACCAAGATTTTAAAAATTGATTCTTATAATCAAAGTTTGTCACATTTTCCAGTAAAGATTCTTTAAGATTAAACTCGTACTGAACTGAGCATTAAAGAAAATTCTGAGTTTTCCAGTTCATTGTAAAATTTGAACAGCTAGTAAATTCCAATTTAAAATTCACGGAAAACAACAATTAGAAAATTCAATTTTATGTCAATTTTCAAGTACGTAAGTAAATTTTATATCCTAGAAATCCTGTAATTCCAGAAGTACTGTTGCAATAAAGATACTGATTTGACCTCAAATGTTTTTGAGGACCACTGCTAGTTGTGAATACGATTTTTACACACCAACTTTATACTTTTAGCCACTTTACGCTGATAATTCATTACAAAAAAACTATTGGTTTATGTATTTAATGAGTTTTTCTATCTTTTAATAACGTACGTATTCTGTTTAAACATAAGTCTCCTTGTTAATACAGTGTTTTGGTAAAACTGAAAATCCTGTCTTTTAATAGAAACTCTGATTATGGCGTTGGTAAGGTTTGTCCGAGATCTAAATTTGCACCCGCTAAATCTAATAAGTATTATAAAAATGATATATATATATTTGAAAACATATGTTTCTCTCAAACTGTCTTATTACAAAGAGAAAGCTCACTATATATTTCTCAATTTTCAGTTGTAAAAAAATTGTTTGAATACTAAACATCCAAATATAAAAGTTATAGCCATGCAAAATTTCTATTTATAAACATTTACACAATTTTAAACGTAAAAAAAAGAGTATTTTATCATAACTGAAGTTTTAAAAAAATTTGTTTTAGTGCAATAAAAATGGTCTAAGACTTGTTTTTTTTTTAATGTATAGAACAGTAAGGGAAATGACCAGTTACGTTCATTTTATGGCATATATTCATTTGGGCCCTTACTGTATTGGAATCATTTTGGGATATCTGCTGGAGAAACATAAAAACGTGAAAATGAAACCGGTAAGTGTGTGTGGATGTTAAATATTTATTACATGGTACTTGATTACCATAATAATCCTGTAAGGTGTTATTACTATAAACAAATGTGATTATATTTCATAGTGATTTGCTGTATAGAACGTATTACGACTGGAGCAAATATTTTTGATCCGTTTTTTTAACGTATTACGAATGGAGCAAATATTCTTGATCCGTTTTTTTAACGTATTACGAATGGAGCAAATATTTTTGATCCGTTTTTTTTAACGTATTACGAATGGAGCAAATATTTTTGATCCGTTTTATTAACGTATTACGAATGGAGCAAATATTTTTGATCCGTTTTATTAACGTATTACGAATGGAGCAAATATTTTTGATCCGTTTTTTTTTTTGTTAAACTAAAAATCATTCAAACAGAAAAGGTGGAATTGTGAAACTGATAAATACTAAATAGAACAATGTAAAATTATAAGTATTGAACGAACCATTTATACATTTGAAATGTTTTTAATTTGACTTATTTTTTTAACAATCATAAATGTTTTATTGTTTATATTGTAGAGACGATCCTAACATTTTCCATTTGTTCCATTTCAAGGGCCCGGCATGGCCAGGTGATTAAGGCGCTCTACTCGCAATCTGAGAGTCGCGAGTTCGAATCCCCGTCACACCAAACATGCTCGCCCTTTCAGCCGTGGGGGCGTTATAATTGTGACGGTCAATCCCACTATTCGTTGGTAAAAGAGTAACCCTAAGAGTTGGCGGTGGGTGGTGATGACTAGCTGCCTTCCCTCTAGTCTTACACTGATAAATTAGGAACGGCTAGCGCAGATAGCCTTCGTGTAGCTTTGCGCGAAATTCAAAACAAACAAATCCATTTCATTGGTTGAATAATCTTCATACTTCTGCTTTATTTTCAGATTGTTGTGGTTCTTGGCTGGATCGTTACTACGATCTCGTGTTTAGCTGTTGTTTTTGGAGCTTATGACTGGCATAACGGGATCAAACCAAACGTCTTTGTTACAATTCTCTACAGTTCGGTTCATAGAACTGTGTTTGCCTTGGGACTAGCTTGGATAATTTTTGCGTGCACCAGCGGTTATGGAGGTGAGAGCTCTTCTCGATTATTCCAGATGTTTACAGTATATTCTAGGCCAAACTTCTATTGTAAGTCAACATGTTATTTACATTGAGAATTTACGTTTTAGTAAAAAACGTAGGTGATTAAGGAAATACGGGGAAAATGCAATGACTTTTAACTTGCTCTTTATATCTTCTGAGCTCATTATGAATAAGCCAATGCTCTATGGAAATATGAATCGTTTTGCAGTCATTGTATTTACCAATTGGGACTTACTGCTTTGAATTATTCTTTTACTTTAATTTTAATCTTTAAATGTTTGAATTACTTGACGATTTTTTTTTTTACTGTTTAAACACCACTTAGAACACACTCACACGCAAAAATGATAAATTCACTGGATGACTGTTTCTAGAATGACTATTCCAAGAATAAAACCCATCTTAATCTTAAAACCTGTAGTTATATATATATTGTAATACGAAGACTTTGTCCTAGAAAAGCATATTTTGATGTTTTAACAGTCTAATATGAGGCTGGAAAGAAACTATAAAACCTGAAACCAACATAAATGAATAAAGGAAATTTATATAGACACTGAACAGAATATTCACATGTTCAAACTGATCACATACACAAACAAAGGTGTCAGTGCTATACACAGCAGTTGTCAGTGCTATACACAGCAGATGTCAGTGCTATACACAGCAGTTGTCAGTGCTATACACAGCAGATGTCAATGCTATACACAGCAGTTGTCAGTGCTATACACAGCAGTTTGCTTACTTCAAGTATTCGCGCAAAGCTGCAGAAGGATTGTCTACGCATAGCTGTTCCTAAGTTTGAACTGATAGAGTAGAGGGAAGGCAACTAATCAACAGTACACACCGCCAACTCTTTGGCTTAACAATGTGTTAATCAATTATGATAAACAATTCTGTTAAGTGCAATTTCCACAGTTCTAGATACTACCTTTTAACATTGCAATGTTTAAGTAATCAAAAAGCGCTATCAGTTAAACAACATCTAAACATATTAAATAAAGTAACTTTCAAAAGCTGAAAATAGGAAGGGAAGCGGCTATCACTCGACGAGTTATTTAAGATTCTAGTATTTTCGAGCATCAAGTCAAGAAGTGTCCATGGAATTCAGTGTCGAATTTCTGAATTTCGTACTTCAAATGAAATTAGAGACAAAAAAATCCACAACTTCTTGGTTAGTTCAAATTAGTGCTGAAGTAGCTTTAAACATGATATGTATTTCAGGCAGAATTTCGGAGTACAATGTTGATCTTCTATCCGAGCTAGTTGTTTCACGATTATATACAGCCTCAACTTTTAGACAAACTTGGTGTTAAGTCTGTGTAAAAATAGTCTGATCATTTACAACACGCACATTTTAATGTCTTTCTAAAACTGCCACTCCAGTGGCACAGCGGTATGTCTGCGGACTTACAACGCTAGAAACCGGGTTTCGATACCCGTGGTGGGCAGAGCACAGATAGCCCATTGTGTAGGTTTGTGTTTAACTTCAAACAAAACAAAAAATACTAAAACTGATCTCCAAACGATTAAGACCTCCTTCCAAAAATATATATGCCAGTGGAGCTTCATTATAATCTGTTGTAATAGATAAACAATAAAATATTGTACGGTAGCACAATCATACCACTAAATAAGTCAAATTTTCAATACAATTTATAATAATATATTTTCGTCTAAATGAAACACGAGTTAAAAGCTGAAGATTACACATATTCAAATTAGTAAAGATGATGTGTTGTTATGTCAAGATCTGTTCTTGCTCTACGGTTTTAAATAGTGATAGTAAGGCTTTCGTTTTAGTTGAAATATTTAATCATGTCATTCTTAAAGATAATGTTTCGATATAAAACATGCGTTACTTAAAAGCGCTTGTAACCTTTAACAGGGCCTGTTAATGCATTCTTGGCATGGAAACCATTTGTAGTCCTTGGCAGGCTGACGTATATGATCTACCTGGTTCATTTCCTCGTGCTGCTCATCATTCTCGGTTCAGTAAGAGAAAAACAGTTTTTCAGCCACTTCGAACTTGTAAGTCTTTCAATTATAACTGAATAATTTTCAGACTTGAATTCTCTTTTTAAACAACTTAACTTTTACAAAGAAATGAACCTATAATAATAATAAAGTTATCTAAAAAATTTTCGTTACATTTTATCTAACTTGTCATTCAAGGATACTGAGTTTCGAAATGAAAACGCTACTTTGGTGATGTTTTGTAAGTTTCGTTTTTTGTTTTTTTTTTTGTTTTTACGCTGACCAGTGAATATTTGCCTATTTTTCAGTCACAGACTACATTATTTGGTGTTTGAATTACATATGTAATGAGAGCAAAACTTAAAACTCAAACAAAGAGGGATTTTATTATAATTATCATCAGTTTTATCTTGATGTAATATCTCATATATTACAAACTAAAATGAATGAAAACAGTTAAATCCATCAACAGAAATCTAAAAGTCAGATCTGTAGTATTTTGTTTTTTTCATAGATGTAAAGATATAAAGTGAACAGAAACATTTCGAGACCAAACTTTCAAGCTGAGTCTGTTCCTGGGAAGATTGACGCCAAACTAAGATGCATCCACCATCAGAGAAGTGTGCAAATCTGGACTCCTAAAAAATCGGCCTGGCATAGCCTGGTGATTAGGGCGTTCGACTCGAAATCTGCATGTCGCGGGTTCGAATCCCCATCCCACCAAGCATGCTCGCCCTTTCAGCCGTGGGAGCGTTATAATGTGATGGTCACGTTTTTCATAACATGAACGTATTCCCAACTGACATTCTTACATCTATGTGCGCCTCCCAGCGGCATAGCGGTATGTCTGCGGACTTACAATGCTAGAAACCGGGTTTCGATACCCGTGGTGGGCAGAGCACAAGATAGCCGATTGAGTAGCTTTGTGCTTAATTACAAACAAACAAACATCTATGTGGAGAATATTTAGAGATTTCGCGCGTTTGTAATTATATTAATCTATCCAATATGTCGTTTCGTTAGTAAAGTCTTTAGAAATATGAATTTGAAGGGTAATACTTATATATATATATATTAAACAAAATAAGATAACATGTGAACTATAAAAATAGTATTTATTTTTTGTACATGGCGCTTCAGAACACTATTACATCTTAATCATTATGTACTGAACACACAAAAGAATTTATTAAACATTAGTAGTACTGGTGGTAACACTCAAAATATGAAAGAAACAAAACTCAGTGGAATTTTACGTATATCTATTTATACAAAAGCCAGTTCTTTTTTTATAAAACTCATTTTGATTGTACCTTCTGTATTTATAAAAATTCATACTTATAATACAAGAGGGAATCCTCAATAGCCGCGGCATTTTAAATTAATTTAGGCAGGATGAGAGTAAATTAATCTATGAGACCCCTTTTTTCCCCCTTTTTATTAGCTATATTTTTGTGCGCCAGCAATACCAAGCGTGGGGCGCGCGTATACCCGATTTGATTTTATTACTTATCAGTATCTCTACCAGACTACCCTCAAATTGAAATTATGTTACACGGGATTAATCTTTGAGACCTTGGATCCGATCAAATACATCGACCGAA